GCGTCTTTCGACCAGTCGGCACTTTCGTCGTACAACCAGCACCGACTGCTGCCTGGTGCTACGCTGTTGAAGGCGTGTCGAAGTCAATCGTTGGTCGAAAGCGAAATGTCGTGTGCCGTTTCAAGAGCGAGCATCGTCGGTTCGCGTTCGCGGCATAACAAGTCCGGTGCTCTGACGGCTCTACATTTCCAGAAGCAGGTTCAAGAAGCGATGAAGGATTCACTGAACAGTTCGTTCGTCTGTCGTTTCTGTCACGTTCACTTTCGAAACCAGGAGAGCGTCAAGGCACACGAATTTCGTTGCGCTCACCGCGAGTTCTCCCCGGTCAGAGAGTGCGAACGCACCTCGCCTTTGCGTTCGCGTTCGCCGTCGCCTTCGCCGTCGTCGTCATCATCGTCTTCGTCTTTGTCTTCGTCGGACAGTGCCGTGGTGGCGAGTGCTTCAGCGACGGCGGCGGCGGCGGCGGCAACCTCGATGCGCGGACGCGGCGACGAGTGTTCGTCGGAAGAACCGCAACACGCACTGAGCGCGACGTGTTCGGTGACCACCGCCGTCGCGTCCTGCTCGACGACCCCTCTGTGTTCGTCGTCGGTGTCCACTGCCATTGTCAAAGATATGATCGAAAATAAACACCCTTTAAAAAAACGCATTCTGGCTCAGGCAGAAAATCAGAAGTACGCCGTTCTGGCTATCGTCCCTTCGTCGTCGTTCGACAGTTCCCCGACGACGTCAGATTTCACTGCAGGGATCGATTCAAGTTCGCCGATGGCCATTTCTCCGCGTTTCAAACGAGCAGGCGAAAACGCGCTATTGCATGTCAGCCAGCCCCAGTCGGACTTGTGTGCACCGTCGTCAAGCGGCGCCGTGCCCGTGTCCATTTGTCCGAACGTAAACTCCATTTGTGATATGCAGGCTGATTGCGGTACTTACGTCGTAGCTTCCGTCACCGCAACCTCCACCACCTCCTCGACTGATGTGCAACGCCAAACGTTAAGGGCGGACGCGTCGCCCTGCGCGACGGCAACTGCCACGTCGGATGTCGCTTCACTGGCATCGGTGCAGTCGAGCACGTGTTTTCGCCCGTACTGCGTTACTGTCAAGGTGCCTCACGTGGTCGACATGGAACCGATGAGGTCGTGCAAACGGCCGGCTCAAGTCACTCAGTCGACGTACTGTTGCCTTCGCCGCGCGATACCTAATTCCAGCGTACTCTACCACAACCAACGGTCGTCAGCGTACGCCGTGTGGCCGCAAAAGACGGTGAACGTCGCCGAAGCACAAATGAACGTGTTGATGATGGCCGGTTGTAACATGAATCAGAAACGATTTCACTACAAGTATGCGACGGCCAACAAATTGTCGCGACAAATGCGAATGACGCATTCCAGTTATTGGGAGTATTCGAAAAAATTGCAGAAGCTGGCCGTCGCCGCGTTAATTCCATCTACTACGTCAGCATCATGTTCGTTGTCTGGCGTGTTACATTCGGCAGACGCCGCCGACCTGTACGCATCGTCAGTAAGTTGCAGAGCAACCGTAGACACCGGTTCGTCGGTGTTCCGCTCGTCGCCTGTTTCCGGCACCATTGTCAACGTCGGCAGCAGATGTTGTTCAAGTTCTGTAAGCGTTGACGGAAGTGCACATGTTTCGGTTGTCGTACAGGACGAGGAAAGCACGGACGGCTGTCGGCCGGTCGTCAAGAGGTTGAGTGCAACCGCAAGCGCAAGCGTAGCCAAAGCGTCCGACAAGGCGATAACCAGTGTCCATGCTAGTCCAGCGCCAGTCACCGATCACAATCAGAACTGGAACCTGAACCCGGAGCTGAAGCTGAAACCGAACTTGCTCGATGGTTCGTTAATAGCATCGCCGGCCGTTGGCGGCGGCGTTTCGACATGTTTGCTGCAGCAGCGCGACGACAAGTTCAAGGAAATGTCGCGTGCGTGCGGTCGGCAAATATCGAAGAAGGTGCGTGTGTGCAACGGCGGTTACAAAACCAACGAGTCTTACACGTACATCAGAGGTCGAGGCCGCGGGCGGTATGTGTGCGAACGGTGCGGCATTCGTTGCAAGAAGCCGAGCATGCTTAAGAAGCACATCCGCAGCCATTTGGACGTTCGACCGTACGCGTGCCCACAGTGCAGCTTCAGCTTCAAGACCAAGGGCAACCTGACCAAGCATATGAAGTCGAAGTCGCATTCGAGGAAATGCGCATTTATCAACTCCAGGTCGATGACGACCCGTTTCTGCTCGTCGGCAAGCTACGTAAGCAGTAGCCGAGACGTCGTACATAACTCGACGTTTAACCACGCGTTCGTTTCAGCACGACGATTGCAACGACAGAAGCGAAGAAGACGACGAGAGTATCGATACGGTCAGCTACAGCGGCGGAGACGCCGACGAAGACATTGAATGGTAAATTCGGAGACACGACGTTCGACGTGGCCAGGGCGACGACAGATGGCCAGGGTGATCACCATCTGTCGTCGGTCGTCGGTTACCTCGTGTCCTCGGCCTGACATATGGTTCATTTTTTCTTTGTTCCCAGCTTCTTATTCAAGTCGTCTAGAACAGCTAAGATATCATGCGCCTGGACACCGTTGCAGCAGCAACAGACTCGGTGTGCCAGAAGGCTTTCCTCCTTTGCTGCCGCTGCCGCAGCTTCGGCAGGCGCATAACAACCAACCACAGTGACGCCAATTCCTTTGTCCCTGTACTTGCTTCAACCTCGCGGTAACGATTCGGTCAGATACCACGTTCCAGTGTAGGAAAGGTCGCCAGTGCAACACCACCTCGGTGAGCAACGCCTGTTGTATTTTCTGTGCAGCGGAAACAGTAGTTTCCAGGCCAGTGCGTCTCTTGTATTGCAGCTACCTGTATTCCGATCTAATACAGTTCTTTTTCGACCACTATAGTCTATCCAGGTCTGTTCCGGTTGGCGTTCGCAAAAATACCTTAACAGGCCGTTTCCAACATTTAGCACTGAAACGTCAGTCAGTGACATTTTCG